GTTCACTGTCGTGCGAGATAGAGAAGAGAGAGAGTCGCACTCGACGGTGTTCACTATCGTGCAAGACAGAGAAGAGAGAGTCGCGCTCGACGGTGTAAGCTACCATGCGAGATAAAAAGAAAAAAGAAGAGGGAGAAAGTCATGCTTGACAGTGTGCACTGTCGTGCGAGACAGAGAGAAGAGAGAGAAGGTCGTGCTTGGCAGTGTGCACTGTCGTGTGAGACAGAGAAAACAGAGAGAAGATTGTGCTTGGCAGTGTACGCTACCATACGTGATAGATAGAAGAGAAAAGAGAGAGAAGATTGTGCTTGACAGTGTACGCTGTCGTGTGCAACAGAGAGAATAGACGTGAGAAGAGAAAGAAACATAGAGAAATAAGGAAAGAAAAGAGAGAAAGACAGAGGAAGAGAGAGAAAGGAAAGAAGAAGAGAGAAAAAAAGAAAGAAGCGGGGAGAGAAAAGAAAGAAGAAGAGGGACAAAGAAAAGAAAACGAGAGAGAAAAGAAAAAGAGAGAGAGAAAGAAGAGAGAGGAAGGAGAAAGGGAAAGAAGAGAGCAAGAAGAGAAGAGAGGAGAGAGAAAGAAGAGAGGAGAGATAAAGAAAAGAGGAGAGAGAAAGAAGAGAGGAGATAAATTACCTTTGAAGCCTAGGAGTACCCATCCAAATTTTCTCTCTCCTCTCTCTCTTTCCAAACCGTGACCCAAGACTCAAGCAAAAGGTTAGAATTTTTATTAATTGAGGAAGGATCCTTTACATGAAGAAGGTACATGCTTATATTGAAGTGGGACCCAAACATGGGTGTACAATCAAATTTTGACCTAATTGTTGAAAATTAACAATTAAGTTAATTAAAGAAAATTTTAAAAATAGGTGCAAAATGAGAATTTTGCCTCTTACCCACAAATCCTGAAATTCCAAACAAGTCCCTGCCATGGCCATGCAATCTTCACGATCTTTCGAGATTCATTCGGGGTCCTTATATTCTTCATCCGACCAAAAGATTGTTCTTTTCTTGATCGGTTCGGGGAGACGGTCGTTTTGATACCCATTTCGAGCCATGGATCGGAATCTCGAGTCATGATCACGATGCGACAAAACATGGGAAAACATGTAACCCTAGATTTAGGATTCATCCCGTTTCTCAATATTCTTCGATAATTTCTTCGTTGTAGCATGATGAGCAAGCTACCATGATCATTTTGCACAAAAAACGGCTCGATTTGGTGCCCGGCCGACTGTATTCCAAATTGGGAAACTTTGCCCGAAATTTGGATCTTAGTGGTTGGAATTTGCTAATGTTCATCCCTGATTTCTGACAAATTCGACCGTCGATCATGCGCAAGGTTCTACCCGGAGGAAGCTTTCAACCTTATGGTCGTAATGGGTCTGACCTTGCTTCTATCTGACATGCAAGTACCATGATTCTGGCGTTTGATTGAGGGACACATTGCTCGAAATTTCTTGCTACTTTTGGAACTCTTCGGCGATCTTCTCTCTTCGATTTCTCTCAGCTCGGGCCATGACATCATGCTTGTCGCATATCAAATCGACCGGGTCGATGAGACGAATAAGCTCCCAAAATTTGGGTTCAATCCCACCCGAAATGAGGAAGATACGATCATGAAATGTTTGCCCCCAAAATGGTGAAGCACAATTTCCATTAATAGAAACTGGTTCACTGAGAGTGCACCATAATAGTGTACGACCTACCCATTTTAGGTAATTTGGGCATAACTTGCTTTAGAAGGGTTTGAATGCATCGAAAATTGGTACCCGAGGGTTTTCGAATATTCTGAATCCAACGGCGATGGTATGGAGACCATTTGATGCCCCGATAATGGTGTTGTAGTTTATAGTCTATTTTCAGCATGATAGAGACAGGATTCTTGAAACTGTTTTATCGTCTGCACTGCCTGAAACATATCGGATTGTGACGATATTTGGCAGGTGTTTTTAGGAGGCCTTTAGACATGATCTTGAATCTTCTTGGGCCTTTCTGAGACTGTCACAAAATTCACTTTTGGATTAGGGCTTATTGACCTACGGCGTCCGTAGTCCACACATATTTTGGTACCTGTGGACCTAGGTCGCGAACTGCTCTCTCCTTATTTATACCGGAGATACAATTGATGGAAAATGACTTCAAACATCCGTATCTTTTTCTTTTTCTTTTATTTTCATGCATGATAACCATGTTTCCTCTTCATCTTTGAAACTTCCATTAATGAGCATCTACCATCTTCATTAAAGCTCTCCCTCTCTTTGCATTAAACTTCTATCATTAATGACCTCTATTCTCTCTCTATTAAACTTATATCATTAATCACCTCCATTAAAGTTCACATTTCCCTCCCCGCTCTTTACTTCTAATCATTAGCATTTACGTAGCTCTTCCATGTTCATCTTATGATGCTTCTCTAGTTGCATACAAATATGATTTGAAGCTTTTTTAGATTAGTTCGCGTTTTTTCGATTTGTCTGATTTCATCATCATCCCTCTATTTCTTAAGGATCTTCATTAGAACGCCTTCTTTTATAAAATCCTTTTAAAAGTCTTCTCTTGAGCTCCAAGGCTAAGGTGCACGGAAAGCCATCATTTGTAAGTAGTCCGAGCGAAATATGGCCTCGTGGCCTGATTCTTGCTTGGGGCGTAATTTGATGGAACCCTTTCTCTATCAACTCTTCAATATGTTTACATTTGAAACCAAGGTGGGGAATCGAGTTTTCTGCCTGCATTTTCGAGTATAAACACTTACCAACTGATGTGGACCTTGGCCAAGGGATATTTCGGATCTGTTGCAACAGTTGTGGGCTCCACCTTTTTTAGCATTGGGTATTAATCTGTGGAGGATAGTGCTAGCCACTTCCCTCTGGAACTTTGAAAAGAGTGGAACCTTAAAACTTTTGAGGGCCGAGCTCATGATTTTCCCACTTTGTGCGTAGTCGTTTAACTATCGGTCATTACTTGGGCTTTAACTACTTCGTCCCTCAGATCGGTGCCCAAAGAATTACTCTTTTTACATTTCCGGTTGGTTTTCTATCCTACAAAGAGCAACCTAAATGTTGTATTTGTGTTTGGGATAAATTGTTTGAAGTATGGGTAAAACTCAACTTTGACGGAAGTATTCGACGAGAAACTTGTGGCTTTGGGGGTTTGCTCTGGGACCATAGTGGTGAGACGATAGGGTCATATCATGGCAGGATGCATATATGCGAAATCAATGAGGCTGAGCTATGGGCCTTGAAGATGGGAGTGTTGAGGCTAACTACCAAGCAGCAAAAGGTGGTTATGGAATAAGATTCTGCTAACGTGATCAAATGGCGCTTGTAGCCATGGCGGTTGAGTGCCATCGTGGATAAGATTCTCATTGTGTTGGGTGCTTGGTGATGTTTTTTTTGGTTCATGTTGGTCGCAGCTTCAACTCGGATGCAAATCTTCATGCTTAGCTTGCTACTTCCTTATAAGGATGTCTTTGTCCGTTTCCGTTGTTTCCTATTCATTTCATTTTGTTTTTGTTTATTTTTAATAGGGAAATGTAAAATCATAAATGCATTTCAAAAGTCTATAAGAAATGTTGTTTTAATTTCGAAGAAACCCTCTAATCGATCACCTCGACATCGATATAAATGAATATAAAAAAAGCGTTTTTGAGTCCCAAAAATAGTGCATCTTGCAATGCATTATCTAGACGGTCTATTTTCAAGATTTTCATATATTTATAGATCTACTTGATTTTAACCATTTTTGGAATTTAAAATTTTCTAGTTAGGTATGAAAATATATTTTAAGATAATACTAAGTATTTTTTACCACAAAATTACATGTTATAATAAAAATTTAAGGTGCACCTTAATTGGATTGTTTAAGGTTGCAACATTATAGAAACCGCACTCTTTTTAATCTCTCTTCATTAACTCAATGAGAAAATCTTACTTGTTCTTTGCCTTAAAGTATTTTCTTAAGTAAATAAAAGGGAAAATTTCATATAGAACCCTAATTCCTCATATTATTTCATGGTAGACCCTTATTCTGTTTTATTTTCGAGTGGTATAAGGAAACCCTTAAGAATTTCATCATACCCCCTCATCTCTTATCTCCTAATTTTTATTGACTTTTGACCATAAAAATTAACTCCAATAAATCTTTTTATACCTATTTACAATCAAAAAAATCTTTTTAACTCTATTTTCCTCTTTCCATCCATTAAAAAAGTTTTTTATTGAAATGATATAAAAAGATTTGTTAAAACTAATAAAAAGTTTTTTTGTTGAAATGTTATAAAAAGATTTATTAGGACTAATTTTTATAATAAAAAATCAATAAAAGAGAGAGATAAGAGATAATGGGGTATGGTGAAATTTTTAAAAATTTCTTTATGTTGCTTGAAAGAAAAAAAAAGAGAAAAGCTCTGCTTTAAAATAATATAAAAAATTAAAATTCTATATGAAATTTTCCCTATATCAAAAGAGAGCACTATGCTCTCCTCCCTTTAATGGTATGCAAGGCACAGGTTTGGATTCGATGAATAATTGAAGTCAATCACATGGGCCTCATAAAAGTTTATTTAAAGATTCCACCACTACGATTTGTCTTGCTGTATACGATTCTGTGTCTTCAATAAATAACTACCAACAAAGAGAATTTATGCTCCCTTTGGAGCATGCTTTCCATTATTCGCTGTGGCAAAATCTGATCTAGGAGAACTTCTTTGACTCCAAAATTTTCAAATGTAACTTTTTTATCCCGTAGACTAAATTAAATAAGAAATACTTCTGGATTTCATTCTCCATGGGCTTGAAAAAAAACAAAATGTCTCCGGATTAGATAGAGACGATCCAATTTTTTTGGGTTGAGAATTAAGTAGGACAGAACTCAATATCCAATTTTTATTTTAAAAATAATTATCCGGTTATTATTATGTGGTTCCCAAGATTTCATATTAAAAAACGTCCCAAGGATACGAAAAATCTCCCTCCAAGCCGTATAGTATGCTCCCTTGGGGGCATAGCAATCGTCTAGGGTGGTACTTTTCTCTCGCTGCTCCGGTATTTAAGGAGGTGAAAAAGCACTTGGCTTTACGCAATTAAATGGCCGCATCTGCAAGCTCTCGTCTCTTGTTCGGGGATCGCGTACCAGGGATAACTGACGTACATGGACGTCCCGCCGTCAGATCTGGCACCGGAGGGTGGAGATCATCCCTATTCATCATCGGTAACCTACTCCGCCTCTCACTACAATTCTTTTTTGTATTGATCTCTCTTTTTCTGCTTCTTATTAATATGAATATGTGGGTGTAGGGGTAGAGGTTGCAGAGAGGCTGGCCTACTATGGGGCTTCATCGAATCTCATAACGTATCTGACAGATTACTTGAACCAGAACACTGCCACAGCGGCAAAGAATGTTAATATTTGGTCGGGGGTGGCTTCTCTCCTTCCTTTGCTTGGTGCTTTCGTTGCAGATTCGTATTTGGGGCGATACCGGACCATCATCATCTCGTCTCTTATCTATCTCCTTGTCAGTTCTCTCTCTAGCTTTTTGTTTTAGTTGCTTGCAAATATTGATTCGTACACTCTTTTTCTTTGTTTTTCAGTTCTCACGGAGTAGTTTTTTTTTTTTTTTTAATAATAAATTATGCATACCCAAAATAATTACTTAAAATATGAAATGATGGGGTTATAGATGAAAATTATAAAGAAGATCATTCACATTTTTTTATTTTTTCTAAAATTACCTTAGACCGTATTTTAATTGTTTTCTTTTAGTATATTGGTCAGTAAGGCAATGCCCTAAGCTTAGGCAATGCCCTAAGCTTTAGGGCTAGTTTCTAATCGTTAGAATTCTCGGACCCCCTGTTTTTTAAAAAAATTAAGAAATACAATGCAGTCCGAGAATAGGTACCCCTCTTTTCTCAAAAATAAAGAAGGACGAACCGTCCATGGTGACCTCGGACCGTACAGGAATTGAGGCCCCAATAGATGTCTGAGGATTCTAACATCCTATTGCCATTGCTTTTAAAGCTTGGGGCATTGCTCTGTTAACAGAAAAACTAAAAAAAATAAAAATAAATTAATGCTGTCAAATTATTTCGTATTTTACGTAATTATTTGTGGTCAGTTGAATCACTCTTGCTTCAAATCTTGGAAGAGAGAATTTCAATTGTCAGCACCTTCATCATTCAAGCCCAAGCCCAAATTCTAGCGAGAGGATTCGATTGACAAGTGCGAGGGACTCTTGCAGGGCTTGATTCTTTTGACTCTATCTGCGGCCGTCCCGTCCCTCCAGCCCAACGGCTGCTACAAAACTGAACCCAGAGCTCTCGCAAAATGCCATGGATCATCAACATTCCAAGTCGCCTTCTTCTTCTTCTCTCTCTACCTCATCGCCCTTGGCCAGGGAGGCCACAAGCCCTGTGTCCAGTCCTTCGGAGCCGACCAATTCAACGAGGACGACCCCACGGAGAGGCGTGGTAAGGCGTCCTTCTTCAACTGGTGGTACATGGGCATATGCGGCGGCTCTCTGTTGGCCGTATCAGTGGTGATGTACGTGCAAGACAACATGGGATGGGGATTAGGGTTTGGAATCCCTGCTGTGGCCATGGCCATGGGGCTTGGGGCGTTCCTATGGGGACGGACGAGTTACAGATTGAGCGTGCCTGGGGGAAGCCCCTTCATAAAGATAGTTCAAGTTATTGTGGCGGCCGCACGCAAAAGAAACGTGCCATGGCCGCAATCGGTGAAATGGGAGGAAGATGAGGAGGACGAAGAGAAGTTGCTTCTTTGGAGTTCAGAAGTTTATGAGTTAAGGACCAATAGAACACTGCCACACACTAAGCAGTTCAGGTACGTTCTTTCCCTTGCCCTTGACCTGTCGCTTAGTTGTTCATTCTGCGCCCGCCTCCTTTCGCTATTATTAGCACGTATTGCCTGCAGCAGGGACTCATTACATTAGTGGTCAGGAGTCGGATACGGTCCCTGTCGATTCTTTTTGTTTGGGTCGTTCGCCACCAACAGGTGCAATTGGCCCGGTAGTCGGGACCTAAAATGTAAAGAAATGTTTCCCGTGGCCCGGGCGAAAGCTAGGCGACCATGCCTACTCTCCAACCACAAGAATGGGGTTTGGATCATGACTGGTCAGTTCGGCCTAGCGAGTCATTTATTTTTTTATTTTATTTGGAGGGCATGCTCCAGTTTGGGTCCAATAATCTCAAAGCTTTTTATTTTGAGTTTTTTTTATTCAAATAGTATGAGTATGAAATTTGGTACGTAGAATCTTTTCATTGGAGGCACTTATAAAAAATATTAAAAATAATTTTTTGATAAAATATAATGATAAAAATGCCTTTTGAAACTTTTCAAAATATTTTGGTCATTTTATTCTATTGAAAATAGCTTTTTTATATTTTTCGTTAGTACGAGTTTAATAGAGGATTGGACGTTTAAAATTTGCTGTAAAAATAATTTATTAAAAAAACAGTATCAAAATAATTTATAAATAAAATTAATTAAAAATAAAACAATGTATTAAAAAAACAGTATCAAAATAATTTATAAATAAAATTAATTAAAAATAAAACAATGTAGAGACATGATATTGTGATTGAAGCAAGCTTAGCCCACCATTTAAAATGGATAATTGGATAAAGAGAAGTATATAAAGTTTATGCTTAAGTGCTTTATGTTACGACATCATATTGTAAACTTATTCTTTCTTATCTCGGCTATTTAGGAGGATTTATTGGATACTTGAATTTTGTAGCAATCACAAAAAACAAAAATTGAATCTGTGATGATTATTTATTAAGGCTATATATTATTTTAAAAATTTCCTCAAAAACTAATTTGCTAAATTAAAGTGGTTGCATTCCAATATTTACAGTAACAAAAAAAAATGTGTCACCGTCGGTGGGCCTAAACAATAGTGCAAGACATTGGATCCAAAGAGGAACCCGACTTTATACGGCTGTCTCTTGGTGAATGAATGTAGAAGGATTTGATATGTGACCTGCCATTTGAGTGAGACACGGGTACACACATCTCGAAAGGAGATGTGGGACCATGGCTGGTGACAGTTCACGCTATCCAACATGGCATCGGACCATCCTCTTTAACTTTAAAGAAATTCCATTATTTTTATGTCTACAACAAGTTGAAATGTTTTGTTTAGATGAGGGTGAGGTTTATATACGGTTGTCTCTTTACATTATACAAATAAGGCGCGCCTGTGAAATTTACGTAGCAATGTTATTTATGTGTCGAAAACTTTATGATGGTTCAAAAATATCTTTTTATTTTCAGTTATAAATTTAAAATTTTAAAAATTATAAAGATTGAACAAATTAAAAAACACTTGAAAATTTTGGACTATCCAGATAATTCGTTACAAGATGCACTACTTTTTAGCTTAAAATTATTATTTTTCTCTATATCCATTCATCTTGATGTAAAGATGATCACTTGGATGGTTCTCCAAAGCCTGAACACTCTCCTCTATAGGATTTTTTAGGTGTACCTTATTTCAATAGTATAAGAGCTACAACTTTATATAGACTTTTTCCTTCATGAAAAAGGCCATTTCAGGTACGTTGAATATCTACTTACTCATAATTGGGAGAACTCATAAATATTAATGAGTTCATTGGGATAAGACTTGGTTGATGATGTTTTGATTCTCATCTTAAACTAGAGTAAAGAGAGGCATAACATATACAAAAGGTAACATATACAAAGGGTCTGAAGTCAATAATCATAATATATATATATATATATATATATATATATATATATAGAGGGAAATGACCTTTTGATACTTTCCTACACTCATGTATGTAGAATTTCAAATGAGCACTATTAAATTTAACACAAATCTCTAAAAAAGTCAAATCTCATACCCATGTGCGTAGAACCTCAAATTCACCATTAAATTTGACACAGATCTCCAGAAAAGTCAAGTTTCACACCTATGTAATAATTTTTCTAGAGATCTGTATCAAATTTAATGATGATCTTTTAAAGTCTTACACACATGAATGTGAGAAGATCTCGTAAAATCATATTATATATATATATATATAGGGTTGCCTTGAGATCAATGTCGGTACCATACTAGAACCTGTACGGTCCTAGCCTATTCTCAAATTGGATGGGGGCGCCTTAAAATACTAACTTATTATCATTTGGCTCATGGGATTGAAGTTGAAATTAAAGACATATGTACCTTAGACCGGGGATTTCAAAACCAGTTAAAAACTTAGTACATAAAAGTGTCGATTCAAAAGCAAGAACCAGCTTAACTACTTACATCTTAGACACCGCATTGGTAGCGAATTGACTTTTCATAAATCTGGTACGACTGGTGATATGGAACGAGGATTAGACTGATTCTCATTAATGAGAATTATTAAATAATAATTTTAATGTTGAAAACACGTACATTGAAAATAACAAAAAAAAAAAATAAAAATAAAAAGGAGAGAACTGAGCCATTCAGCCGATCCGAATTACTCGATGCCTTGAGAGATCCATCAAGCGGGACAAATTTTCGATACTGATTAAGAATTATGATTGTTTCTATCCGATTGGTTGGGTAGTGGGATTATATAAATAATTACTTAACGTTAAAACAAAATAATGAACATGTGGGTCCTCGAATGAGGCATAAGCAAGTGGAAATGCCGTGTCCTTTCTTCTTTTTAGGTGAATGGATGGAGGCCGTGTCCTTCCACCTTAAACCTCAACAAACAAGCCAAAGAATGCGTACAAGCAAAGAAGTAAAGAAAATAAGGAGCTGTCTTAATCTTGATTTAACAGTTTCGAGCTTATCTGTTATCCAGCGTCAGGTGGTTAAGGTTGACCTAAAAAATACTAAGACAGACAGGTGCAAAGGATTAAGACGATATTGAAGAAAATAATACTTTTTAAGTTTCATATTAAAAAAAAAGAGTAGGATTAAAATTTATGTAGTTAATCTCAATTAATTAGAATAAAATTTGAATAATAATGATAATAATGATAATGATGATTATGATATTCAAGTGGCTGTCCATTTTTGAGAAACAATGTTTTGGGGTTGGCCCAAGTCCACTCAAATTCGGGTGAGTCAATCAAACTCGCCCTATGGGTTCCAGTAGCTCCAATCCAATCTGAGTTTGTGGCATATAAAAAAAATAAAAAAATATAAAAAATAAAAGTATAGAAATATAAAATTTTTTTATATGATTTTGATATTATTTACAAAGACTGGTCGGTGTATTATGGCTATAGTCTTTATTTTTATATTTTTATTTTTTGAATTTTTTAAAGTGTCATCTCAAACGGTAAATCAATTGTTTTTAAAATCCCTTGTTTTTCTTTTGTAACGCTTATTTTAACTTTTTGTTGTTTTCAATTTTATTTTACTTTCTCTACCTTCTTTTTTATTTTACTTTCAAAAATAGGTTATTAAGAGGCCCGCATTTCTACATATGCGGACTTGGTCGATGGAAACCAGGTCCAAAAAATAATGATAAAAACTGAAAATCAGATCTTTCTATTTGGAAATAGAGATTCAGTGATTATACTGCAGATCTCAAAATTCAATATTAAAAAAATAAATAAATAGTAATTTTATCTGAGAGAGTAATTAAACTGCATGCTCTTACAAGGAGATAACATATGCGCTCATAAAATAAATTGCAAAAGTGAATGAACATGAAAGAAACTATGAAAAGGGCCTGGATTGGTTTGATCGTCACTAGTAATGATCTGAGTCAAACTTAATTAGGTGGAAGATATGATTTAAAAGGTTACTAACAATGTAGGAAACCATGACCCCGGGAAAGGAACCCAGCCTGGGTTAGGCAGATCCTGGGGCTTTGTTAAAAAATAAAAAAAGTGCAAGAAAAATATCCTAAAATATGATAATTATATTTAAAATAAAATTAAATAAAATTCTTTTAAATGAGGTTAAAAAAGTAGTGAAAAATAGATTTTGAAAAATCTATTTATTACCTATGGTGTTTTAAGAATAATTAAAAATAAAATAAAATGTAAAAATAAGTATTCATGGCCAAAGCACTTTCCAATCTTCGCCAAAATGTTGAACAACATAAAAGAAACAGATTACAAATTAATTTCTTATTTTTATGAATTTTTATTTTTTTAATTTTTTTTTATAAATCGCGAGTTTGACCACCAAAACTGGCCAAACCCAATGGACGGGTCCGGGTCGACTTGACCGGTTTTGTGAACAGTCTTACTAAAAAGTTAAGGCATCTATTAGAATTTTGTTCTAAATGCATGATGTATTATATTTCTCTGCAAAATTCAACCAAATATTAAGAAATTGCATCCTCAAAAAGCAGAGACAGTTGCATTGAATACCAAAACAAACCCTTTATTAACAACAACAAAAAAAAAATTCCTTGTAATGGAAAACTGAGAAATGTAACAGATGAGGAAGAACCCATAGATTGCCATTCAGAAAATGTCCTCGAGGTCTGCCCCTTTTATAAGGGTAATGGACGTTATAAAGTCGGCAGCCATGTTTTACAAATAATTTTTGTAAGGGTGCAGTTTGTATAGAGCCGAGGCTCGGAACAATCAAAGTAAAACGCTCCTTCAAATAGTATCGAGAAATATGGTTTTAATACTAAAATCTTTGTGACAGCCTTAAAATATAATTTCATCTCTAATTATAAAATTTTAAGCTTAAAAAATAGTATAGATGGGGCAGATCAATGAAAATTTAAAAATTGATGGTCTAAAATGCTTTACAAGATGTACTATTTCCAAAATTTGAAATTCATTTCTTTTTTATGTCCATGCATCTTGATGTCGAAAGGATAAATTTGAAGATGTTTGATGTTTGGGCATCAAAACAAGCACTTCTAGTGAATTTTGAGGTGCACTCTAATTTGATTGTGTAGAGCCTCGGCTCTATATAAACTATTTCCTTTTGTAAAAGGGTTTTTATTTTAAAATAGCTGCCATAATTTCTGTTATTTTAAAAGTAGCAGATGTAATTTCTTTTTCTGGTATTGATTTCTTATTGAAATTAGAAATCCTATATAACAAGCCCTAAGCCATAATAAACGTCATTATACAAGAAATAACGGCCAATGAATTACTGCATGGAGATTTTTTTTAGAATTATAATTATCATTATTTCCACAACAATGGCTATTAATTTTAAGAGATTGTATACAATGAGACTATTTACCTTTGATACAAGATGGTTACCATTACTTATAACCATCTGATGTGAAATTTAGTAGCTTAGGTGTGTCATAAAGCTCAAGAAATTTTCTTTTGAAGTTTGAGCTTGATCAATAGAATAAATTCAGCCATATAATTTCACATTCAATGGTTCTGATTAATTGTGACTACCTTGTACTAAAGATAAATTGTTTTATTGTATTCTTTTCATACTTATTTATGACTCCCTTGTATCCATACAAGAAAACGTAAAGTAGGGTTTCCCTCTTTCTTATGTGAATAATATTTACTAGTCTCCAACGTTTTTTCATTGGTTTATCTCTATGAGGACTAAATCATTTGTTGCAAGGTTAAACAAAAAAAACCAATCCGTGACTCAGATCGGCAACCTTAAAAATCAGGCCGGATCAATGGATCAGCCATGCATGTCGTTAATGATAAAAAAAGATATAGTAAGTCCTTATTACAAAAGATATTTTCCAAATATTCTATCGATTTTTATGCGAACGAAAGGGAACAAAGTAAGTAGAAGCATTTATTACAAAAGATATTTTTCAAATATTCTATCGATTTTTATGCAAACGAAACGGGAACAAAGTAAGTAGAAGCATTTATTACAAAAGATATTTTTCAAATATTCTATCGATTTTTATGCAAACAAAACGGAAAAATGTAAGTAGAAGCATTTGTTCAAAAAGTCATTCTATTTCTCTCTTTTTTATATTTTTTTGATTCTTATTCATCGATTCAATCATTGTGAAAGAAATTAGATGTGGTTAGATAGGATTTGAACCTATACCAACAGTTAAAAGATCTATATCCAATCAATTAGACAATGGACACAATTCATTCTATATTTTTTCTTTCCAATTTTTCTTTTACCATCATCTCTTCATATATAACTAGAACCCAATTTATTGTGTTTTGGATGAAATTTATGAAAAAACTATAAAGGAGCAAGTGGATCCCTAGAAAAAAAATTTAAAAAAATGAGAGGTTTCCTTTTGAATAACAAGGAGTGATTAATCAGGTGGTGGGTCGTGGATTGATCTTTTCCATAGAGGAAGTGCGGGGAAGAAGGAATTGTACTACGAAATGATGTGACATAGAAACAATTTTTTTTTGTGGTAACGAACCTAGTTTTACGTGTATATAATTTTTTTCCTTTACAATATTGGTATACCATATAATGTTTAGATAACATTTCCTTTATAAAAATCATCTTTTGATCTTTGAAACTATTGGTATGTTTAGGTTTTAGTCGGGAAACTGTGGTTGAGTAACCATAATTACCGAGTATTATCCGAGTTGTACCCCACCAGTAACCTACCCACTGCTGGAAATGTAATTCTATATATACGAGTCCTATATTACTTGTTTTATATGCTTTATATTTGGCCTTCTATACTAATAGGATTGATCCGTGAAGTCCTTCACAGAACATGTAGATCTGCAATTTGCATCACTAATAGGCTATTAATAGTGGAAATCAAGGCCCTATCAATGAGCTACTACTATGAGACTACTATGGGTCCTCTAGAGTTGGTGTGTGTGTCCTGTTCTATAACTCAGGTCTGCAACTTTCTATGCAAATATTTGATTTAGTATGAAATAATTTCACAAGTAAAGATGACGTAGGAACATGCATTGATCCATTTTGACCTCTCATTTTCTCTAAAGAGGTCATAGTAGCTTAGATCACTCAGGCAAATGATATTTCGACAAAGAAGTGGCATTATTAGTTCAAATGGTCATAGTATCTGGATTTGAACTCGATAAGAGAAGCTTAATTCGGTCTGTTTTAGATCTATGCATGGAAAATAATAGGAATGGGTATGGAGTAGCAATGAGGTTGATGAGTGACCACGGAGGGAAGTACATAGTCTGATCCATTTTCTGAAGAGTCTCATGTTTCTCTGAAGAAACTCAATGTCCATTAATTGATATGAATATATAGACTTGTCTTAAATAGACAAATACATATGGGAAAATATATAAATAAATCACAGCTTCCTATACTCTACTTAGACTTACCAAAAAATACAAGATATTATATCTACCCTTTCCATATACAATGATTACTCACCTACCTTATTAACCTGGTAGACAATATATATTTTCCTTTCGCACTTCCCTCCAAACTCAAGATGCTATGAGAGAGAGCAACTGGAGTTTGAACACTAATTGCGGAAATGAGCAATTGGATCCAGGTGTATAGCATGATCAGTAGATGTAGTAGTTGTCATGCTCAAATTGCTTAATCAACAAGCATTGAAAGCAACGGCTGATTAACAAACTTCAGAAATAGATGGCCTCAGGAACTGAGGACCAGAGTAGGATCGATCAATCGAACAAAATTCTAGACAAAGCAGTCGAGACAGCTGAGAGAACATAACGGCACTTGGAAGAGCCAACAGAACTCGATGTGGATCCAAGATAGGTTCAGCAACTCGCAGATCAAAACAGACATGATTGAGTAACCAGATAACAAACTTGATCATGCAAATAGGAAAAGATAGCATGCAGACAAACTAAACAAACCTACAATGTTTTTTTTTTTGGGACAACTTTTGAGATTTTCTTTTTTTTTTGGATTAACGAAAGAAAATGGTCTGCCTCATCTATAAAGGTGGTCCGTCACAACACGTAGGTGATACCTGCGAACAACTGACGCTTTCCTCTCAATAAAACACTTCTCAATGCTCGCATCCCTATAATACTGCGAGCTCTAGTCATGCAAGTAATCATCCGGAAGGGAAGTGTAGTCTACCCTCATAAGCAGCACATTGTGAAGAATCACACAGGCCCCAATACAAGCGACCCCCATTTTGAACTCTTCATCAATGGGGTAAGCCAGAATACCCCAATTACTTAAACTGGCAAAAGTTCGGAGAACTGGCCTCCTCATGAGCTCATGGATGACATTGAAATCTTCTTCGTAAGAAGAGGCCACAAGCTCTGTGTAAGGAATCATTTGTGTCCACTTTATCGCACGAGATATTGTAGAGAGAAAAAACGCCCGCAACCTATAGAGATATTACAGATGGCCGGAAAAACTAATAAAAAACAGGATGGGATACTAGCAAGAGAAAAAAAAAAAAAACTACCAAAAATCACTGAGAGATGATGGATTCAAACAATAAAAAAAGAGGCAGTCGTAGATGCAGATTGATTTTAGATGACAGTTTCTTGGTTCAATCGGACGGGATAGGATCAAAGAATAATTGAGTAACAGACTCGTCTTGAAAATCGGCGATAACGCTTCAGAGACGAGGAATGAACATGGCGAATATGAACCTAGCTCTGATACTATGTGAAGAGTCTCAGGTTTTTCTGAAGAAACTCAAGTGTCTATTAATTGATATGAATGTACAGACTGGTCTTAAATAGACAAATACATATGAGAAAATATATAAATAATCACAACTTCTCATACTATACACAGAATTACCAAAAAATACAAGATATTGTATCTACCTTTTCCAAATACACTGATTATAATATACACCTTGCATATTAACCTGATAGACAATATATATTTTCATTTCACACATTTAAGTGTTCCTTTAGAAAACACTCATGGTTTCCTAATTGGCACATTTAGTTCACGTGAAAATGTTTTCTAAAGAATATTTTTACGTGTGGTTAAATGTGGAAATATTTTTACATCAAGTAGTTGCCCATTGGTATGAAAAGATGCACTAAGACCATTTGGTATGAAAGTATTTCCACGATTAACTACATGAGATTTTTTTTCATGTGACACGAACCAAACGTGTATATTTTGATAAATAATATAGTCACTACATATACTTTTTTTTAATTCCATTCAACTTGGTTTGTATTGGAGAAAAGCTTTCCTTTATCCATAAATTAATGAAGACGCCGCCTATGACAGAGCTGATTGTTTGCACTCTTGAAAATATGTGCAATATAACAGAGTTTTTTATTTGTCACAAGAGTTTTATGAGATTTTCCAATATTAGTATTTACATATATGAGATAAATTCAGAAACGTTTCCTAATTAGTACTCTCCACAATGTTTTCCTAGAAAGTATCAAGATTTTAAACTTTTCCCTGACATGAAATTCTTCATAAATACCCAAAACAAGAGTTGTCAATAAAAGAAAAAATACATAACAAGCCTTTGTAAAAACAAATTTTATATTTAGTTGTGTTTTCAAAGTGTCCATCCCATACGTACAACAATTCTTTCTTCAAAAAAGGATTTGTTGTATATATGGGATACATGCGGTTCATGTAATACCTCTTTTGATTCTTTAATACAATGAGCAGTACGCGATATCCCCACATATTCACCCAAAAAAAAACAATTCCTTCTCAAAATGAAGTTTGAACTCACTGCAGGTGGCTGGACAAGGCAGCCATTCGCGATATTGTTTTAGGCAAAGAGAAAGATTGGTCCATGCCCAATAGATGGAGGGTATGCACAGTGACACAAGTGGAAGAGGTGAAGCTTCTTCTGAGGCTAGTTCCCATCTGGACTTGCTGCCTTCTATATGCAGTGGTGTTCGCCCAACCCCTCACCTTCTTCACCAAGCAAGGCACCATGATGGACCGACGCGTTGGTTCGAGGGGATTTGAGATACCCCCTGCAGCAATGCAAACCTTCACAAGCATCTCTTCTGTTTCATTTGTCCCCATTTATGACCTCGTGATTGTCCCTATAGCCCGCAAGCTTAGCAGCAAGGATAGTGGAAAAGGCATTACCATGTTACAAAGGATTGGGATAGGGATCTCCCTGTCAATTCTTACCATGGTTGTGGCCGCGCTTGTCGAGTCCAAGAGGCTAGAGATTGCCAGAGAGCTCGGGCTCATTGATGTTCCGGGTGCTGTAGTGCCCATGAGCTGCTTGTGGTTAATTCCTCAATACATGTTGTTTGGTGTGTCAGAGGTATTCACGATTGTGGGGTTGCAAGAGTTCTTCTATGACCAAATGCCTGATGCATTGCGAAGTTTAGGGGCAGCCCTTTACCTAAGTGTGATCGGGATCGGGAGTTTATTGAGCAGCATTTTGATCAGTCTTATTGAAAGGGCAAGCATTGCTGGTGGGGAGAGTTGGTTCTCCGACAACCTCAACAGGGCACACCTTGACTACTTCTACTGGCTCCTCGCCCTCCTCACCACATTTAGTCTTTGTTTGTTTGTCTTCTTTGCGAACCACCATATCTACAAGCGGGTCAATCCTTCAATATGAACCTGTAAAAGAGAAGGAGCATGCAGTTGCTACTGCAACTGCAAGTACCATGCTTGTCATCTGCTGGTTGCTACTCTTAACTCTAAGAAGGGGAGGGATCTACTTCAACAATCATAAGGGCCAACCAAAGTTGGCATCAGTCTCTTGTAAATGTTTGCAAGTATGATTTATGTGAAGGTTATTATTGTTTCCCTATTTATACACAACATGGGGTTGAATGATTTGCAAATATTTGTATTATTGTTTCCCTATTCATATACTAAATGGGGTTGAATGATTTCTAAATATTTTCTTCTTTTATGAGGTTTGCTTCATTGAGTTCCGCTATTATGCGTGGGGAAAATAAGGATAGTATTAGGAGTGATTTATGTACGGACCAAAAAACTTTACTTGAACTACGAAATGCTCTATTTATAGGCGGTCAGTCAACCCGTATTTTTTTAGTTTTTTTGAAATTGTCCCTTTGTTCGAGGATGCCAGTGCCCCAAGCTTTAGAGGCAGTGCCTAGGCGGTTCGAGGTTAGAATCCTCAAATCGATATTGAGTGGTCCGAGGTCCCCACGTCGTACCTCTATTGATCTCAAAAAATAAGAAATAAATAGTGGTCCGAGGATGGGGACCACAGATCGCCTTGGAATTGGGTTGTGCTCAGTATAGAGAGCGGCTCGAGGATCCTATCCTCATACCACTGTTTTTTCTCAAACAATAAGGTATAGAGCAGTTCAAGGATGGCGACCTCAGACTGCTTTTTTTCTCCAAAAATAAAAAGAAAGAGCGGTCTAGGGATGGGAACCTTAGACCACTCAAGAACCAGAGGGCAGTCTGAGGAGTCGAACCTCACACTGCCAGCGCACTTCCCCTAGGGCTTGGGGCACCACCAGTGTTAGAAAAACCAGCTGGTTAGAACCAGAACCAGTTGGTTAGGTCGGAACCTCTAGGGTTCTGAGTTTGGTTAGGGCCGGTTTTGGGTGTCTAGTAGCCTAGAGTACACCCCCATAAAATGTCCGGCCCAAAACGAGTTGGTTACGGGTTGAACTAGCAATTTTTTTGTCAAACCGGCTAGTTTTCTGCTAACCGGGCCGGATAGCTGATATAACGAACATTTTTTATTAAATAAGGTAATGTACTTGTTACAAGTGTTATTTTGAAATATGGGCCATTATATGTAGTAGGCATACTTGAATCCAATTTTTCACCTGTTTTTGATTTGTTGTTGTGCCATTTTTTTTTTTTGTGGGGCCTTTATTGCTGTAATTCACTATCTAGAATCTATAAAACAAGGAATTTTGATTAAAACATTGAAAAAAAGGAAGAGTTTCTTGGATTGAAATGGCAGATTTTTTAGGTTTTTGAAATTTTCTCCAGTCTTTCAATAATCTCTCTTGTTCTTGAAGAAATTTGGAGCTTTTGATAGGTAATCGAAGCATTTACCATATTCATGTTTTAATTTGCTCAAAAAACAAAAAATTATGGGTTGATTTTGGCCCAAAAAGTTGTTGCTCAAAGAACCTGTATTCGATCCAAAAAGGAAAATCTTTGATCAATTGATTGGTTGTTTTTTTATCAAATTCAATTGTGGATTTTGATCATCAAAGCTACATCTCCCAAATAAAATAGGTATGTCTATTTATGATTGATTAAAAAAACCTTACATGAATTTTTTGGTTGCACGATGTCATGAAAATTTCATAGATTTCAAATTTCTGCCATTTTTTCAATTAAATTAAAAATATTGAATATGTTTTTTATGAGATTTGGTGCATTTTAAAGATGATTGAAGCCTTTATAATGCATGATGTTGATTTGTTCGATTATCCGAACATTAAGGGTTGTTTCTTACTCGAAATGTTGCTCGATTTAGGGGTTTTTTGAGAAATAATTTTTTTTTAAAAAATATTTTGCTTAATAAAATTATTTTTTTTGATGAATATAGGAAGTTTTTTTTCATTTTTCTTAATAAAATTAGTTTTTGATAATATTATGATTTTTAATAAATTTTTCTTTTTTTTACGAATATGGGAAATGTTTTTTTATTTTGTTTAATAAAATTATTCTTTTTGATAAAATTACTATTTTTGATGAAATTGATTCTTCTTTTTGACAAAATTATTATTTTTGATGAGGTCGATTCTTCTTTTTGATAAGTGCATGATAATGTCGCTCGATCTGTTGGTTGATTTTTTTAATTATGTTTTTTTAAGTGCATGATATAGTTATATTTGTAATAATGGAAATGCGACATTTTGTTTTGTTTTTTTTTTGTTGCCTTATGTTCAATGAAACACTCTACCACTGTCATGTATGTGCTTGGTTCTTCTCTCTTTTCAATTTTTTTTTCATTTTTCTCTCAAGGTTTTTGGAATGTTATGGAAAAACAACTATACTTAGCTTTTCAGAGCTTTGGGCAAGAATATATTTTGTAGCAAAAAAATATGTTTGCTGATTGTTGAATTAAATAATCAAACATACTTGGATACCGATTGCTCTAATTTTCTTCCCAAAATTCTTAATGATACCCAAAACCCGACATTTGGATGTCTAATTTTGCCCTAGAACTAGACTTTGCAGTTTGCACATAGTTTCTCGGTCTAAGCTCTTCCTCTAAATGTCTCTTATTATAGATCTTCCATTACTGTAGGTTATCTCGATTGGTCTCAAATCTCTTAGTAATGTGAATCTTTGGGAGAATACTTCCACAAAGACAGTGAGAGTGAGTATTTTACAAAGGAGATCTTAATTTCAAATCATCCCTCACATTTGACAATATGGGTTGGGTCATTAATATCAAAATACACCCAAGAAGTCTAGGTTAATCTATCGAATGGAACCCATATGTGGAGTGGTGAACTTGAAAAGTGCCTCTACCAATTGTTTTAATTTTTTTTTTGTGGGGGATTTTTGACCCATTAAAAAATGAAAAAAATTCGGCTACCCCCCGGGTTAGCCAGATTCTAGTTCTAATCGCTTTGGGCCCTATTCTAGTTCTCTATTATGTTGTAATTTCTTTTTTATTGTTGTTGCCAGATGATCTATTCCTCTGAAAAATTCCTCCACTTGTTTTTTTTTGCTTGGACTCTGATTTATAAGTTTCATCTCTCTCTTTTCTTTATTGGATCAAAGGATTGCTTTCATGATTGTGTACATTTTAATGGAGGTATTGTGATTGATTGACTAGTAAGGATTAATGGCTTCTATGCTTGACTACTACCATGAGCTTCTATAAGATGATCTATAAACTTCAGTGAGAGAGCTTAGGATAGAGACATGCTCAGTCTGTTATTAACATATTGAGGCATGGAATGTCTTTCTAGCAAATGGGTGCTTATTTACGGTAGCTTGAGAGGAAACTTAGACGACTCGTATAATTGTGTATACAAATTTTTTACTAGAGGCAATTTTATCATGCTTGTTATTTTAATCAAGTCACTTCCATCGTTGCAGCTCTTTGTGCTTGCATGATTAGGGTTTACTTTAGGGGTCCATTCATCCAATCGATGATATTAAAATATTTCCATGTCAATATATCAAAAACATGGAACCTTTGATATTTCTGTGTTCAATTTGAAGTTCTCTAGTATGAACTACTTGATGTGATATACCAGTCCTTTAATTAGGAGATATAATATTTCAAGATGATGATTTTTTTCAATTCAGATTCATTTTTCAATATCTACTAGTGTTATACATCATTTTTGACGTACTTGTATCCCAGATGTAAATAAAGAGAGAGCCAGTAATAACTTGGCCCTGCCAGTACCTAAGACACTGTTAAATCAAGGGAACACTGCAACAATAAGCCTAAAGCTGGGCGACCCCTAAAGAAGTGTCAGAATGGCCTCAAATACCATGAGAGGGTATTTTGGGATACCTTAGGATACTTACAAGGTTTTGTCACGTTTTGACAAGTTTTGATATGATTAGGACCAAACTTGGTTATTAAATCCAGTTCTTCTCATGCTGAAAATAGACTTTATAACTACAACCTCATTTTTGTGGGTCTTAAAATAGTACTAGACCACCGTCATTAGACTCGTAACATTGAAAAGCTGCCAAGGACCAAATTTGGGCTCAATCGAACATTTCAAGACCATTCTGGACCTAACTTACCATAAAAGGGTGGGTTTTACACTATTGCGGTACAACCTTGGTGAACCAGTTTCCATTTAATAGAAACTGTGTTTTCTCATTTTGTGATGATTTTCAAATGCTTATAAATCGCTCGTTTTGGGTCCGATCAAGCTCAAATTTGAACACGAGATAGATCTCGACGACCCAATTGTTTTGACATATGGCATGCATTATGACGTGGCCCAAAACGAGAGAATTTTTAGAGAGAAAATGAGCTCAAAATCATGAAAATTCAGATTTTATACAAGAGAACATCGCATACTTTGAGATACCATAACTCACGATCCCGATGTCGGATCATCGCAAATATGGGTCTGTCGTGATCGTGTTGTGAAGAGCTAGAGTTTAGTATAATTTTGATGTATGATTGGAGGCTAGATGATACAAATTTTGAGGTCAGAAATCGCAAGATTTTTCGGTCTTCGGAATCCTATTTTCCTGCGACTTCCCAAATTTGGAATATGCTTGTTTACGGTGCAAATTGGAGAGATCTTCAGAGGAAGATCCCTCAGATCCATAACACAAACTGATTTTAAAAGTGATAGAGAGTGAGACAATCAAATTCTGATTCGAGGTCAGATCTACTCGAAAACGAATAGATCCACTCCCAGATTTGACAGAGCCAGCATAGATCCAAAAACATGAAATATTCAATGAAATATGAATAAAAACCTAGATCTAACAAAATAACTGAAAAATAAAGGAAAAAAGGATGAGAAATTCAAAAGCATGAAATATTAAATGAATAAAAACTTAGATCTAACAAAATAACCGAAAAATAAATTAAAAGATGATAAGAAAAATACCCGACCTAGCCAGTTGACCCGGCAAACCCGAGGCTTCGAGGCCTTACCCGTGTCAGGATCGGCTGAGTTTATATTGTGCGTTCTCTTTTTATCTCTTTAGGTTTTGACTAGGCCTTGGCTTGGTTGAGCTAGAGTTTTGCTGATCTAGGCAAAAAGTTGGTTTCAGGAGGGGACTAGGGCTTAAGATTGCATCTCTAGATCTAGGCTTTCTTACAGTTTTCTTCCTAGGCTCGCTCTGTCTCTCAGATTTCTTGACCTATGGGTTTACAAAGTCCCACCTCAATTGGTCACAAAATATGTTTATATA